GGGGGGGGAGGAGGAGGAGGAGGAGGAGGAGGAGGAAGAGGAGGAGGAGGAGGAAGAGGAGGAGGAAGAGAAGAAGGAGGAAGAGGAGGAGGAGGAGGAGGAGGAAGAGAAGGAGGAAGAGGAGGAGGAGGAAGATGAGGGAAGAAAGAGAGAAGAGCGCGCGTGTGTATGTGTGTCATCACGTATGTTGCGGAAATAATATAATAATTATTGATGCTTAAATTTCATGCATAATTTTATAAGCCTGAATATGTTGTAGGCCTGTAATAATTATTATTAAAGTTGTGACTAATCGTTTTATGCGCGCAATTTTATCTTCTTTATCTATTTCTATTTAAATAAATAAATAAGTAAACATTTAACATGTCTATGTGTTAAATTAAATTAAACTGTTAATTTTAATCAATTTTAAATTATGTGATATTATGATTTTAGGAATTTGATATTAGGTGTACAACTTTGCTTTCGCCGTTTTCCTATAGATGGCTTTAGAGGTAAGTGGTGGTCGAAATAAATAGATCATAGACGTCATACAATAAACTTGGGCACCTGTCAACATAACCCCATAGAAACATTAATCAATTTGTGTCTGCATCATAAAGTTATTCTCGATTGAAAATGTCAGTTTACGAGCCAAATTCTCGTCATTTGCGGGAGGTTTTAATTTTTTGCTTCAATATGAAGAAATCTGCGGCTGAGGCTCATCGAATGCTCTCAAATATAGTGAGGCCGCTATTAGTGAAAGAACGTATCGTGAGTGGTTTCAACGCTTCAAGAACGATGATTTTGACGTCGAAGTATAGCGGTGGAAGAGAGAAGGTTTTCGAAGATGCAGAATTGGAGGCATTACTTGAGCAAAACTCGTGTCAAAATCAAGAAGAATTGGCACGATCATTGGGAGTGACTCAACAAGTCATTTCAAAACACCTCAAAGCCATGAGAATGATTCAGAAGCAAGGAAATTGGGTACCGTACGAATTGAAGTCGAGAGATGTTGAATGGCGTTTGTTTGCTTGTGAACAGCTGCTTGAAAGGCAAAGGCGGAAGGGATTTCTGCATCGCATTGTGACTGGGGACGAAAAATGGGTTCATTACGATAATCCCAAGCGCAGAAAATCATGGGGAGTTCTCGGCCATGCTTCCACGTCGACGGCCAAACCGAATATTCACGGCTCCAAGGTCATGCTCTGTATTTGGTGGGACCAGCTCGGCGTAGTGTATTATGAACTGTTAAAACCGACTGAAACAATCACAGGCGATCGGTATCGAACGCAATTGATGCGTTTGAGCCGAGCATTGAAAGACAAACGGCCGCAATACAACGAGAGACACGATAAAGTGATTTTGCAGCATGACAATGCTCGACCCCATGTTGCGAAAGTGATCAAGACATACTTGGAAATGTTGAAATGGGAAGTCCTACCCCACCCGTCGTATTCTCCAGACGTTGCTCCCTCTGACTATCACTTGTTTCGATCAATGGCACACGGCCTGGCTGACCAGCACTTCCGGTCTTATGAAGAAGTAAAAAATTGGATCGATTCGTGGATAGCCTCAAAAGATGACCAGTTTTTTCGACGCGGGATTCGTACGCTACCCGAAAGATGGGAGAAAGTAGTGGCCAGCGATGGACAATACTTTGAATCATAAATGTATAACCAGTTTTTTACAATAAAGCCTCGAATTTCGGAAAAAAAACGGCGGAAGCAAAGTTGTACACCTATTTAATATTTGCATTATATCAAGTATTTTAATCGTTATTTCTTCATTCTTTTTCCAGAATATATATAAACGAAATTCTTTTGTCACTGTAATTGTAAATAGTAATTTTGCTATTAAACCATAATATAAAATTCTTTTAAACATATTCTCCCGATTTTATTATTGTCTCACAAATTAAAATGAATACACGACAGACGACTATGAGGATAAAATTTTTATGCAAATTTTATTGCATTCTTGAGTCGTAAATAAAAATTAGCCGGAAATTTTTTATCGTATTATTGAATTTTACATGAGAATATCTAGAATTCGCAATGCGAACATGTGATTACTACACTGGAATCTGCACTTTTTTGTGTATCTAATTGCTATTAAAGCATACTATACTCAGAAACACTTCCAAGTGATCGTGTGAGACTATTGGCCTTCGCACGATTCAAATTTGTTTTCTTGTTCGAGAGATATTTTTGCCATATAAGTCACGAGATTTGAGAACTGTTTACGTAAGCGGACAATAAAATAATTGTAAAACCTTCTAACAAACGTTGCGCGAGCACGATTGACATAATTATACTGTTCAAACTCCTTTTTTGGATAGTAAAAGGATGTCGTCATTATCAAGATTGAAAAATAAGCGGTTAAACAATGCTTATATATGTAGATATGTACTACCGAGAAACAACTCGATGCATCCCACATCAGACACTTTCAGACAATTATATCAATTCTTCTCAATTAATTACGCTATCTTTACAATAGTGCTTATATCATATTTCTGAAAAAAGAAGGCTTTCATCATTAACAAAAATCTTGTTCTAAAGAAAATTAATTTATGTCAAAATTGTATTGATAATTAATAAACTATTATTGTTTCCAAATTTTATATTATATAAAATAAGATTTTCGATGCTTGTTTTTCTTTAAAAATAATATTTTTATACCTATACCATTTATTTAGTTTTAACATCTATGAAAAAAATATAGAAATCTTGGAACTCTAATATAAATATTTATTAAAAAATAATATACAAGTTTTAATATACAATCCACCGTCAAACTAAAGCGCGTCACTACTTTCGTGCGTTTCCGGTGCATTAACTACATTTCCTTCCTGCCTATTAATCACTCCTCGATGAAGACACAGCGATAGAATGAGAAGAAAAACGGACGCCGAGCGTGTTAACTTCGCGATTGCATCGACCGAATGCCGCGTATTTTCATACGTTCGAGGGCATCTACGACTCTTCGAGCGTGTCGAGATTGTTCTCTTGACAAAACATATATACACCTCAGCACTGAGACTATCTTATACCTGTAAGAATACGATCCGTCCGGCGCGGAATCTTGCGTTTGTCGCAGTATAGCGTAAAAAGGCCGGCCATAATAATTAGGATTGTAATATTGCGTCGGTGGAGTCGTGAATTTGTTGAACTGTGCGTACGCCATCGTCAGACCGAGTAGTAATATCTGTAAAAATGATTAATCATGTGATATCAGTTGAAAATTTATCATATTGAGTATTCTAATAGCGTTCCTACAATAAAGAATGCTCATAGTATACAGAATTATTTGACAGTCTGAAAGTCTTCTAGTTATAGAATAATTATATAATTCTCACTAATTATATATATATGTGTGTGTGTGTGTGTGTGTGGGTGTGTGTGTGTGTGTGTGTGTGTGGGTGTGTGGGTGTGTGTGTGTGTGTGTGTGTGTGTGTGTGTGTATAATGACTTAGTCATAATTCACTTCTAATTAATTAACTAACAATACAGAGAAAATACAATTATTATAATTCATTCGTTATTTCGCATCTGAAACATTTAACTGATATTTGATATTAGATCAGCACTGCGGTAATAATATAATAAACATCGCGCGAAATAATATAATCTTATATATATTATTCATGCAAAAGGGTCTGTCAGATAGGTAGGTTGAGATGGGTAGGTAGTTTGGTACGTAGAAGAATTTCGAGTCATTGTAAGAGCCGGCGCGGTTATGAATAATTATACGTTATTCCATGCGTCATAATCTTTGTCTCACGCTTGTCGGAGATTTCCTCCATTGTATTCGGAAAGTCGAAGAGAGTTAAGTGATTTGCGACACGACGCGCAATATTTTTCACGCGTGCTAATGAGAAAAAAATAACGATTAAAATAACCATAACGGATGCTGGATCGATCCATGTAATGGTGCACGTGTAAGTTTCGTTTTCTCGATATCTTATTTTGATCACTTGCATAATATAATTATACCATACTGAGAGATAATATAGCATCAGATTTGCATGATATCTCGTAATGTATGTAATTATAACAATCATATTCGCCATTATTTTTTCGAAAATACTATAGTCGTTTGTGTGTGCTAAACGGAAGTGACGAAATCAATTCCGATAAAATCGTCTTTGTAACCAATACGTATGTAAGAACTTCTCCGATGCGAATAAAATGTGGATTTATATAAATTCACACGTGCGCCGCGATTGGATAACCCAATTATTCACCTTTCGTGCCAAATCTTCTACGATAATCGATCGCCAAAGCGATCGTGAAATCTTTCTGTATCCAATTGTCATAATTTCATGATGCTCGACTAACTTTTCGATATCTTAAATACATTTAGCTTAATAAAAGACAATTTTTATAACACAAAATTTTATAAAATTTATTTCTATTAATCATGACTGTCACTAGTTTTGCTGCATTTATTCCCTTTCTAGCTAAATGCAGAACAATTTGTTGCAAAAATACATTCCTGAAATTTGTTTACGGCTGTAAATTAATAAAAAAAGAACAGAAATTATTGAAGAAGGTTATATTCGGTTAAATCGGGTATTGATACTTAATAATTTTTGTGTATAATAAACTGTTACAATTTCCAATTCAAGCAAACTTTGCGCTGATTATTAATAAAAAAAGGAATTAAATAAGATAATATTAAGTCGGATAATATTCTTTAGATCTCCATTGAGAACTATCAAATTGAATTTAAAAATCGAAAAAATTTGAATTGATAAAAAAATTCAGTCAATTTATATTACAATAAATATTTTAATTGCGATTATTATATGAAACAAAATTTTATTATATCCCGGTCAAAGATTTTAATTACAAATGCTATTGTTTATTGAATTGATATAATTATTATATAAATATATATATCCTAAATATATTTTTTTAATTAACATAATTATTAGAATATCAATTAGAAATGGAAATGCGATTAGTCATCACTTCCTGTTTTTAAAAGTTTTCCATTTTTAGTAATTATTTAAAAAATGACTGTGATTAATCGCGAAAGAGTGAATAAAATTAAGGGATACTCACAAGAATGTTCATGATAATTTTTAGAGTATTATCCAAAAGAGATAATTATTATTAGCGATTTGGTGCGCACTTGCGTGATGATGAATAATCACACTATGCGAAACACACTCAGACCTTCCAAAAAGCCACGTACGAAACTCTTGAGCTAACTGCAGTTAGAAACACGAGCTTAGCTGGCCACAGTGAGGCTTTATAGTCACCGAGACACTCTGCTTGTGCCCTCTTTTTGCCCCGCCATTTTCCGGAGGTTGAAGGCGAAAATGAATCTTGAATGTTACTCGCGTAATCTGCTAACTAAGCAAAGGGTAGTGGATGATGGTCGGGGCTTTCTAGTTAGATGATAGGTAGGTGGTAATTGACGGTCCCCTTCGAGTACAATTCGTGCCTCATCTTTCGCACGTCCGCGTGAGCATCTACGCCCACGTATCGCGATCCTTTGCAGGTATGTGCACAAGCTTATTAGATTACACACATGCACGTACTATATTTACGAATTAGATACAGTAGGCAGAAACTAGGAAACACGAAATTCAAAATAACACAAAATAATTATTTTAAAAATCGTATGCTAATGTAGAATGAGATATGATACTTGTCTATTCGAATATTTATATTTACTTTATTTTATATAGTAATCACAATATATAATACCACACCCAGAAAAGGATTCCTTTGATTCAAAGAAATGTTCTTTTGATACACGATTAAAGAAAAAAATTTCTTTGAATCGAACATATACCTTTTGCTACATTAGACTATGTTCAGATTTCCATCCGAATGTCACTCGAATCAGATATCACTTCAACTTTGTTGTTTACCGAACGTTAAACAAAGATGACATGACACTCAGGAAGCACTTTCTTTACGAAAAGAACATTCAATTTCGAGAATGTAAAAATATTAGTGTAAATTCGGATCATTAATTAATGATCAATATCGAAATAAGGGTTAACCTTGAAAAGAACCTTTATTAAGTTATTTTATAAAACTAATTAATCCAGTTTTATTGCTAAAATACATATTATTGATGATTATATTTCGAAATACACATGACAAAATTATAATTAAAAAAAACGTTTATAATTAAAAGAAATTCTTTCTCTTGATTTCGGGAATTAATTTTATGTTTCCAAGCGGTCACCCATCTTTAGCTGCATCCCCCTATATATAGCGTGTTTGATTTTTGCGATCATATGGGAAGTAATAAATCGGTTTTAAATTTTCGAAAATATCAATTTTAGAGATAATCCGCATAAAGAAGATATGCTTAAACAAACAAAGCGATACCGAATTATTCTCAGATTCATATCTATCGATTCTTGGTAGCAGGATCAAAGAGCAGACGTCAAAATGATTAGGTAACTATCTGGGTTGTTATCTCTTTCTTGATATCAATCTTTTTCTTTTTTTATCTTTTCCATCAAAAATTAATCTATCCCCCCCTTTGTTGTTTCTCTTTATGGGTTTACAATCATTTTAATTTGAAATGTATTTGTCAAACTGTCTATTCACGATTTATTTCTTTGTCAACGATAATGGTTTGCTTGTTTCCTCCTCAGGCTTAGGTATGTGTTTAATTATTAATATTGTAAAATTTTATTTATTTAAGAACTTTTATATTATTACAATATTTTTATAATTAGACATTAAATATAATTAGACATTAGATAACAGTGACTCAATTGAGGAGAGCTGAGAGAATACAGTAAAAAAATGGATACGTAGCTCGTTCATATCACAAAAATCTGAGATTTACCACATATTGACCAATATGAAGTATTATATAGTATGTACACTGAAGATGATTCGATGTGAATCGAAACTTAATTGTGATTTTAAATAAAGAATATATCGTAAAATGTTAAATTTATAGCACGATAATGTCCTGCTTGGCTCGTAATCCTTTTTTAATTAGTGTTTTGTTTTTAAAATGTCTTTGTATTAAAAAAATTTTATTAAAGAAGCTTACATCTTCCATTTCGCAAAATGGTGG